CAAGCATAGTCGTAAACGATCCAGAGGAGTTGTCAAATTAGCATCAGAACTTCAATAAAGCACTGCACGCAAAAACTAACCTCTCTTTTGCCGTCCTCTTTCCTCCTTTCTCTATGAGAATAAAAGAGATAGGAACAAATGGATACCAAAACAAACCCGGCATAACTGTCTATTTTTGCGGGTGAGGAAAAGAGATGGGGAGATTTAGGGTTAGTTTCGCGTAGGGATCTATGTGAAATTTGACTTCATTCGAGTTGTTTGTAGATTGACGACGTTTTAGTCTTGTGTGCCAAATGTGTTCAGCTGTTTTTTTTATCATGGATAGTGACGCAAGTTCTGAATGCGAGAGCATAATCAATATTGATACGGTTCTTGTTGGACATTTCTGGGGGCATTGCAACATGCCCGGAAGACCCATGTGTTTGATCTTTATAGGTCATTGGAATGGTATTGACTGACATTTCAAAACTAAAACTTTTCCTGAGCCTAAGTTACAACATTTTGGTTGAAAATTTTAGAATTAGCTTTATATCAATAAAAACGTAATTCAACGTTGCTGGCTCATGCCGCGATAGAATGGCGTCATGGGCAGGCAATGGAGATTACTGAGCTTCCCCTCTCTGATAAACCACTGTATGAGAGAACCAAAGATCTAGTCTAGCAGTGATAGTATCACACTTGTTACTCCTTTAATTGAGAGCCGCGTCGTAGTACGCTTACGTATAGGCACTGACGTTGGGTGTGATACTGGCGGGTTTTGCCGCAAATCACTCTTATTTTATTTATTTTTACGCAGATAGATTCATTTGGGTTTGCAAGGGAATTATACTATTGAAATATTTCAGAAAGTGCCCAGCAGTGCTCCTTCTATTTGCGTGACAAGCTTTCATTGTTGTTTTCATTTAATTATTACTCAGGAAACAATGTTAAACATCATTTTTGTACATGGTATTGTAACTAATCTTATATGTGCTTCATTTTGATTTGGGATAAGTGTTTGAACTATGGCTCGGGATTCCCACTGTGGTGTGCTTCTATTGTTACATACCCATATGTATTTTTGTGGTGCCACATAGTGGAAGCGTGAGAGCGTAGTTGGAACATTTACCCTATACAATATACAATTTAAAATTAGCTTGGAAACTAACAAAGTGAAGCATTTGAGTCACTTGAAGGTGTCATCTGGGACGAAAAAAGATATAATTAATACATGTAAAAGCCAGAAGTACTTGAAACACGTTAAATTGTAGTTTAAAAGCATGGGTAATGATTGTGTAGGTAGATTAGAGATTTCAGTTATTATTTATTAAATAAACTTCAATTATAGAATTCAGAAAGTTAATTAACATAAGAGATAGGACGCGGGGGGTCCGCTTAGGGAGGCGACTAGCCTATGAAGTTGTATAATAAATCTTCCTATTTAGTGTATTTGTTAAGTACAGACAATGTCAATAGCGAAAGTCATATCTTCAACCAGGCGCTTACGAACAAGTGAAGTTTTAGGAAAGATGTGTTAAATATGTTGATAGGTTTGAAATAAGAATTAGGATTGTTGTGCTTTAGTTTTCGGTAAGGTATGATGTGTCAACAAAGCCCTTTTGAGCAAATTTTCAAACATCAAATTGATTGAGTGATTTATTGAAAGACATTGCGTTGCGAAAATTGACAAGTCATACATCTAACATAGTAGTAGTAGCAGTGTCGCATAATCTTATCACAATTGCTGCAAATAGTGCTGGAGGGGCCGGCAGGGCTGAATACGGATCAAAACTAACATAACTACTAACACTAAAATGATCCCGGAACTAACACTTATCCATTGCACTTTTAGTTATATATTAGTTTTATTTTTCTACTAGTTGATCGAAGTGTGCTCTGCTTCTGTGTGGACGCGAAAAATTTCCGAGTGTCAAATTTACGGTTTTATTTTTTCTTGGCGTTTTCTAATTTTAGTGCAAGAAAGTGAAAGTGATTGGTTGGAAATGCATTCGAAAGTGTTTTCGTTTATCATAATCCTTTTCATCAGAACTTTTATTAGGCGATTGGCAATCTGGCCAGATGATTCTGATTGGAGGCAGGTGCAAGAGCTTCTTTGAAGATCCGACGGAATGTTGTGAAATGTTAAGCTAGAATTAGGAGATGCAACAGTCTTTCAAGTATTGGCTTCACGTGCAAACCATCGTTCATTTGGTGAGTTCGTTCCTGTTTATTTTTTCACTTGTTTCGATACCATGTATCAGTTTTCTACAATTTTGTCTTGGACATCTTTTCGAAGAGCCACGTTCATACTGTAATTTATCGAGCGCACAATTTTCACATGTTGAAATCGAGTGGGAACGTCAAGATAGTTCATCCAAGTGCTTTTGTTTCTGGTTTTAGACGTTTGATGTCTTCAGTTCTGTTTTTGTACTTTAAAGTTCCCTTTATCTGTGATCATGGTGGGTCTGAAGAGTTTTTGTTGAGCACGCTGAGGCTGAAATTGCATACCCCCTCCCCATGGACATGGAGGTTGACGATACTGAAGCAAAGGGTTATATTTAATTTCTTTATATTTGCAACGATGATGATTTCCTATAGTGACACATATCACCTTCTTAATGCTTCAGTATGCCTCCCTTAATAAAAAATAACCATAAACGAACGATAACCCAAATCATTGAACTATTCCATAAATGGTTTGGATGATATCCAGAACACGTCGTTAAGCAAATTAACCATACAATTTTTATGATGAAATCGGCTGCTTCATGCAGACTGAGCAAACCTCTCACTAATAAAGTAATGATCTTCTAGTAAATTTTGCATATCATTTTATTAATATTTTATTTTATTTAAGCATATTATTTTTGTTACAGTCAATTAGCATTAGCATACGATACAAGAGATTTAATATTACTTGCTCGTTTTTGCGTTAAATAATCAATATTTATTTGCTTGTATTTACCTTTGAAAGTTTTATTTTCAAGTTTTTTTTTTGTGATCTGAAAATTTTCCCAGTTTGGATAGAAGTTTCGAAGCTAACGCATGTCCACAGGCCCAATAGAAAGATAGGCAGAAAAAGTGTATCATGAAGAATGGTTGCATGCAGTGTTGCTTCCACTCACTTGCTATAGATGAGTGATTTTCGGAGTTTTGAATTCGTTAGATGTTGTAATGGAGATTTGTGATGTTGGATGCGGGAGGAGATTGGAGGGCGGGTGTTTGACGCATAGCGCCTGTCAATTTCGATTTCAGAGTGCCGCAGTCGGCGGTTTTATGATTCGTGAGCGCTCGCGATTCGTAGAATCGTTGATTGTGACTGCAAGTGGATTTGGCGGATTTTGTGTGTCGGACGCTTGTTTTTTTGCCTCTTCTTGTGTCTAACATGTGCAAAGTATCATTGTCTAATGGTTTTAAAATTCTTGGTTGCGTGAAATATATTTGTGAGAATATCTTTTTGAGATTTTAGTAGTCACGTTTTGTTTGTAGTTTATATTTTATTTCTTTCATGTAATTATCGTAAATAATAGTTATTCAATAATAGATAGTTCATCCATATATTCGTACTTTGACGCGAAGCGCTGTGGATTATGAGATGCTCGATGACCCTGGAGGGATCGTGTTTGCTTACTGAGCAGAAAATCATGGGTTTAATCCCAAGCTCTCCGTCATGACTCTTAAAATTCATGATCACTAAACAAAATGAATATGTTCTTTCGATAGCCGGCTATCGAGAGATTAAATAAACAACAAATAAACAATACATACTTTTGGTTGCATCGCCAACTTGAGGTGAATCCTAACCGAATACCCTACCCAACCCTCCAACTCCGTAGCACTTATGAGGGTGTCGCTAAGTCGGTGGCCTCTCGTTAAGTAAGTACTACATCAACATTTCCTTCCCTATCCCTAGTTATGGTAAAGATGGGCGTGGCCGGGAATAGCGACAGTGATGCTTCTGTTACTCTTGTTTAGATTGGAACCAATGTTTACTCCCCAGCATTATTCCTGAAAGTAGTCTAACTGAGAATTTTAGAAAAGACGTGAGTGTCGCTAGTATCCAATCTACGAAGTATATCATAACAACGCTAACGCTAACGCTATATCAATAAAAACGTAATTCAAGTCATCGATCAAAAGTCTGGGGCCTACCCATAGTATGGTTTGTCGCTGTTGTAAGTATCATTGTAGTTTTAGTTTACAAAAATGGAATAAATATGTTGAGCCACATCCCAACATAACTTACTACATTCATTGCCTTTCAACTACTGAACAAAAAGACCAACCAAGGTCAGTCACAGTAAGGTGTAATCGCTCAAGAGTATGGGGTCACCCTCAAAACAAAACCTTCGAATGTTATTTTGTTTATATCTCTGCCATTTTTTTGTGGCATGACCTCAAACCTTTGATCAATGACTTGAATAACTAGTTTATTGATTAAAAAGTATATTCTAAATTTTCAACTAAATTTTAACAAACGTATCTCGATGGGTATAGAAAAACAGAACCAATTCTGTCATGAGTATTCAGTACGAATTTTGAATATGTTGTAATTTTAGGAGAAATTCAAAACTTGTAAAGTATAATAAACCAATTAACAACGAACTAAATTTCAGTCAGTGACCTATAAAGATTGGAAATCGCTCGTAAAATGGCAGAAGTGACCAAAAAACAATTGCATGTTTTTTAAAAGGGTACCCAAACTTATGATAATATAACCTTGCAAAATCATGACAAAATTGCATTAATAGTACCGCAACATCTATGAAGTTTATGTTCATCCAGTTAGAAAGGTACCTCCTTTTACCTTCATCAATAAAAAAAACTAAACTTCATGTGCAATGTTAGGGAGTGGATGACTTTTCCAGATTCCCTGCAAAATATTAGCCTTAGTTTGCCTCTACAAACATGCTTGATATGGTTTTCGGGTGATTCAGACCTTCTCTGCAATTTGACTTTTACGTGAAACTTTTCCAGCCACCATATTGATTATTTTCCATTTTGCTACCTTCCCATTACAGCCACTGTACCCGTGCCTGCGATACGTTGCGAGTGATTCTGACCACGTTCCTGCCGGTGATCCGCGAAAACACCGACCCGTGGGGTGCCTGCACCATCGGTGTGGACGTCAGCCGGGAGGAACGTGTCAGCAAATGTATGGAATGCAAAACGTGGCTGCTGAGGATACGGACCCTGCCGGAGAATCTTAAAATCGGTACCAATCTGCAGCAGCTGCAAAACTTGATGGTCGATCTGTGAACCGCGTCGAGCGCGCGCGCCTGCGAGAATGTTAGGTGAGCGACGAGTTTTTCCTTTGCTTGTGTAATTTTAATTTATTCTATCCGTTTTTCGTTTTTGGTCGATTCGATCGTGTTTTCCAATTTATGTGAAAAATGAGAGTTTTAAACTCGTCGTAGCTTGGACGATCAACAGTGGACCATTTGTTCACAGTTAAATAAAAAAAAAACAAATCACTGCTAACGTCACTAATTTATTTGCGAGCGATAAAATAGCAGCAATGTATGATTTTAAATTTTAAAACTTATTTTTTGGTTTTACTGTAGAGTCAAACGTAATATTTTGTTTTAACTAATGAAAAACATTGAAGCAAGAAGAAGAGAAATACACATTTACGTCGATACAGATTAATAATAAGACTGAACATTTTAATTGAATATAAAAAAATGAACCTGCAAAAAATCATCCTAATAATAATAATGCTACGATAATAGATTTTATTAACATAAGCGACACAGATACAAAATCATCCTAGGCAAGCGAAGTAACCAAATTTACGGCTTGAATTGGATTGGACGAACATTTCAGCTCAATTATGTAGAATGTTCGCCCATCCGCGCATTAGCAAAGCGAAAGAAGAACTAACGAAAAACTACGAAATGGTGATTTACTTAGTGCTTTACAAAGCGACATGCAATAATTGTGATTAACACACCATTCGCTTCCTTTCCTTTGTGTTTTTCCTAACCGGTTTCATCATCGAATAAATTCATTTTCTAAATTTGCGAACTGCCGAGTTTCGAGGAGTATTGTATTACAAAATTACAAGAAAATGCATTTATCCCAGTAGTAACGTGAATGTATATGAATAGCAGTAATCTACCGATTTTTGCTACAGCATCAGTATCCCGGTTTTTCGGTCTCTTTTTCCAGTATTAGATTTTTTTTCGGTTTCATATCATTTTCGCCCTTGGACTGACCACAAAAGTGTGGAAATCATAAACGTTATGGTAATTTTGTAACTTTCTAAAACTGATGAATTGAAGCTGTTTCAGATTAGTCTGGTTGTTTGGGGTTAAAATTTCATCCGGCTTTTAGAACTTTGTTTAACTACTGAGCCCTTTGGGTGTTGAGCATGGTAGCACAGGTGAACCACAACTTTTCGGTCCGTCTCATGTTTGTCAATCTACCCTGTCTTTTCTCGATTGAGATCAAGCTATGTCCTCATCCAAGTATATTGCAACAAAGTAGGCAAGCAATATATCATTATCCTTCTACCACTCCGATCGAGCTATGTTACAGAGCGAGTTTTGTGATGGTAGTCATTGCAACCGTTTTGTGTGTATAGTTGGTTGCTTTATGTGTTTGGATTCGTTGCCAATGTTGGGTTGCTTTCGAGAACCATTTTCACTGGGTCGTCGTGCCGCATTCTTACGACGTGCACAACCCACCGTAGTCACCTGATTTTTGCAAAGTGAACGATGGATGGTTCTCCCAGCAGCTGGTGCAATTCGTGGTTCATTCGCATCCTCCACGTTCCGTCATCCCTCTGCATTCCACCGTAGATGGTACGCAACACCTTCCGTTCGAAAACACCAAGGGTGCGTTGTTCCTCCACGAGCATAGTCCAAGTCCCGTGACCGTAGAGGATTACCGGTAGATAGTCATCTTCGTGCGGCGGCGAATTTTATTCGACCGGGTCGTCCTCCGGAGTCCAAAGTAAGCACGATTCCCTGCCATAATGCGTCATGATATCATTTTCGGCGGTCACCAGTGAGCCCAAATACACGAACTCATCGACCACCGGCCACCAGCCGGAGATATTTGTGTTTTAGTAAACACATTTTTTTTAAGTGAAATTTCATTTTTTAGCTGTATCTAGAAAACTATCCTACTGAGATTTTTCATGACTAAATTTTTGGATTCAGCGCACAATTTTACATAAGAATCATCGGTCAAACATTGAAGTTCATTGTTTTCCTTTTATTTGTAAACTAGTGCAATGTATAGCGGGGCTTATCGTTTGGGCTATTGGTGGTAGAGCTGTCTCCTTCTAACTCCCGGGTTCAAGCTTCTTGCATTCATAAGAAATAACCATAATGTAACTGCCAGACAGTCGGAGGTAGATTGTAAACACACACTTCATTTCGAACAGAACTTTCTATAATGCTGTATAGTAACACCGTTCATAGTTTCAAGGGTGATTAAGCATTGAAAAAGCATTTATTTTCAAAATGATTGGGGATAGCAGTTTTGCCCCACCCTACCCTACTTTCTACTTTCGTAACATTGCCATACCATTTGAAGTTTATTATTAGTTGTAAACGAAAAGAGGAATCAAGGGCCGAAAATTTGCGTGTCACGCACGGCACCTTTTTTTATACAGGGGGGAATCTGCTCACAGACACCTGAGAAGGAACTCAGGGTGTGGATATTGGAGAATTTCACTCCCGACCCACTAAACCTTACCCTGTGCGCTTGGCCCTTGACCTCCCCGGAACCGCCCGAAGGCATTACTTCGTGGGAGGGGCCGCTGTAGCGCTACCCAAGCAAAGCTGGAGATCAAATTGAAATCAAAATGTGCTGTTATGATGTAACTTATTTTGAATACTCCAGTTGATCTAATTTTGGTTGACTTAACGGTTAACACAGCAAAAATGAGAGCAAACTTTTACACTGTTGAATCAAACGGAAAACTAATCTTGCTTTCAATGAAATCAATTTGATGTCTGATTTTGCATTCATAATGTTTAACTGAATACGGGTCTGGCGTAAATCGTAACCTTCCATGCATCTCACGCTGAAAGAATTGAGCTCAAATCTCACCCCGGGAAAATAAAGAATGATCTAAAATGTGTTAGAACTAAAAGCGTTAGTTCAACGACAGATGAGCTTAAATTAAAGTTTAAACAAGACGTTAACAACAGAACTTCAAGTTAAGTTGCATTCATTTAAAAAGTCTTGACTGCATAATGAAAACACAATATGATATCAGACTAATGTCGTGACAATTGAAATCAAAATGAGTTTTCATTATGATAGGAACTGCAAACTTTAATATAGATTTGCTTTCATTTTGTTAACCGACTTTGCTCGGGTATGGCGCCTCTCTAGCAATACTCTATCGATCTAGTCGGGCAGTAGGCAACTGCTACTCGGCACGCCACTGTCGTTGTAATTCCGAAACTATGTGGGTGACCGCGCTCCAGTTATCGGTGGTACCACACATCCTAGGAACGATGTTATCCGGACTGGTATCCGCTCCGCATATCGCTAGCATAGCGCTCGATACTGGCTCGAAGCGTGGACAGGCGAACACAACGTGTTCGGCGGTCTCCTCGACGCCAGCACACGTGGGGCAGATGGGAGTACTTGCATGTCCGAACCTATGCAGGTAGCTCCTAAAGCAGCCATGGCCTGACAGGAACTGTGTCAGGTGGAAGTTTACTTCCCCATGGCGCCTGTTGACCCAGCTTGATACGGAAGGTATCAAGCGGTAAGTCCACCTCCCCTTTGTGGAGTTTTCCCACTCCGATTGCCATCTCGCGGTCGACACAACTCGCGCGTTGTTGCGCACCCCTCGAACGGTCCTCGCGTCACGCACGGCACCTGTAATGAGTCAGATACGTTTCTGTCTTCTTTTTTTTTTTAACGAATTTTCTCCAGCGATATCTTCCGGAGAACAGACTTCACCGTTATTGGGGCTACTCATACAATTTGAACAAAGGCATGCTTCCCATGAAAATATCCAATCCCTGTTTGGATTCCTATTCACGTGGGACAGGTATTATTATATGGGTAGCATGACTGTTGCCGAATAAACAGAATTTTCTTCATTAAAGCTGGGTTTAGAATTCAACTGACTTGAACGCGAATTGAACGTGTAAACCATGCCATTCAACTGACTTGATCAACTCACTTGAATTGAAAAAAAAGTTGAACCAGGCTCAACTTTTCAAGTCAATTGAATTCAACTGAGTTGATCATTTGACTTGCCTAGTCTAAACCCAGCTTAAGTACCTAGTTCAAGTGAGTTGAACGCCAATTTATTCATCTAAACCTGACTTAAAGTATACACAAAAAACGAAGCATCCTAAGCTTGGCAAGCAAGGTGATTGGAGCCCCTGTGCTCCGAGACAGTGATGAAAAAGCAAAAACTCAATATGACTCGTGAACTGAACTCTTGTCGAACTTGGTGCAATTTGGTGCTCTCCGAGGACATGATTACTGACCAGGGGTCACATTGCGAATCTCGAAACGAAAGACTTTTTGTACGAACGCTTGTATGAAAGTTTTTCGTTTGGAGATGGGCAATGTGGCCCCAGGCTTCCAAATAATACAGCCTTCTCGCGACAGTTGGTTTATACTTAAATTGACTGCTCCCAAGTAACAATTCTGGTTTTATAAGGGTTCTGTAGACCATGATTTAGACTTGAAGAATGCTATAAAACCTCTATAAAACTTGCAATGTTACTTGGGCTGTTTTGTGTACTTTAGGGTAGGATGGTGCAAAACGCACCGTTTAAGCAAAATCGTCAATTGCCGGCGTATGGAAGCTAAAATCAAGAAGAAAGTAATGGTGATGGTTCATTACCATGTTTTCTACAAAGATCAAGTGATTTCGAACTACAAAACGATGAATTTTCATGATTTTCAAGGTATTTTATAAACTGGTTCCAAAATGATAGCGGGGCAAAACGCCTGATTCATGGTGCAATATGCACCACAACATTGGGACAAGACACACGACAACAATGGCAGCGTTGTCAGATTGTTTTAAAGCTTATTGGTATCAGAGGTTTTAAAAAAATCGGTATTAATCGGTATTTACTACCGTTTTTGAAAGCGAAAATTTTAATTTTCGGACTATGATCGGAAAATTTCGGAAGAAAACTCCGGGGAATGTTTGAATTAGCTTCTAGAGGAAGCTGAAAAACATCCAGAGAAAGAAGTAAGAAGCTCTGCTGGAGGAAATTTGAGGAAAATTCTGAGAGAAGTCGGAAAAACATCCGCGGAACTTCCAAGCCATAAATTGAGAAACTTCTGGCGAAAATTTAAAGACGCTTTAAAAAAAAAATCGGATTTCACATTCAAAGGAAGTCAGAAAAGTTTCGGAAATCGGAAGTAAATTCCAGAAGTAGCCATTTCCTGGGGAAGCCAGAAGAAGCTCGGAAAAATCTTCCAATAAAAGTAAAAAAAAAAACCAACTGGACAAAACTCCAGAACTAGGCGAAAGAAATTTCTGGGAGAAGTTTAATTGAACTTCCAGGAGAAGACGGAAGAAACTTCCTGGAGACGCTGGCAGAAACTTCCTAAGGTAGATTGGAAAAAAAAATCTGGAGAAAGTCGGAAGCCAGAGTGCTTACGGAACAGTCGAAATAAACAAGGAGATAATTCCGGAAGAAAGAGCTCCTGGGGGATGTTCTAATGAACCAGAAAATTTTCCAAATGGTCCTAAACATCCCTGAAGACCCCGCAATGCCCCTGAAGTTTTTGGAACATTCCTGAAATTTACTTAGGGATTTTAGGCTGTTTTGGAATACTCTGATCATTTTTGAAATACTTGAATCTTCCCTAATTATAATGAGGCTACCGGAATATCTCTAATCAACTTTTAAGGTCCTTACGAAATTTCTTAAGC